TCTGGGGCAGGTGTCTTCTTGCAATGGGAAGCGTGGATCCAGTTAGGCCTTCCGGCCAATTTGACAGAGGTAGGGGAGATCAGGAGAACTTGGAACGGTCCGTCAAATCTTGGTTCCAGGGTGTGTTTTCGCACAAATTTCTTGACCAGAACCCAGTCACCGGGGAGCAGACTGTGGTTGCCTGTGTCAGAATCAGGATCTGGAATTGAAGAGAAAACTTGGGCATGGATTTTGTTCAAAGCATTTGCGAGTTCAGTTACATAATCTACTAAAACATCAGTTTGAAGTTGTAGTTGTTGGGGAAAATAGCAACCTAGCCTAGGTGCAGTCCCAAATAGAATCTCGTATGGGGACAATGAGGTAGTATTTTTGTACAAGAGCATTCATTAGATCTTTTGATAAATGTGCAGGTCTGTGTGCCCATTGTACGACTGCTGGGTACAAATTCTTAGGGAGGCAGAAATTGAGGTTGTTGGAGTACACTCCATCCTTCAGAACTGCCCCTTTCTGTTTCCACTTCTGTATTTCTTCAGGGGCAACTGTAGCCTGTTGTTCCAGCAGGATTTTCAGGTCAGTTGGAAGAGTCTGCAGAGTAAATATGGGAGTTTCTTCATTTCCGGACACTCTTCTTTCCACTTCCTGTGGTTCTTTTGCAGCTTGTTTTGCAGCCTGATCAGCTAGATGGTTGCCCTTTGCTTCATCTGAGTCCAACTTCCCATGTGCTTTTATCTTCAAAATAGCCACTTCTTCTGGGAGTAGGAGGGCGTCCATCAGCTCCTTGATTGCGGAACCGTGCTTGATTGGTGTACCGGCGGTGGTAAGAAATCCTCTTGTTTTCCAAATTAATCCGAAGTCGTGAGCCACGCCCAGTGCATATCTTGAATCCGTGTAGATATTGGCGCGCTTTCCTTCAGAGATCTTGCATGCTGAAGTCAGGGCTTGCAATTCAGCTTCTTGTGCAGACATAGTTGATGGTAAAGATGATGATTTGACAATTTCATCTGTTGTGGTTACGGCATATCCTGTATGGTATCTTCCTTCTTCATCAGCATATCTTGAGCCGTCCACAAACAGGGTGAGATCGGGATCTACCAATGGGTCTTCATGCACAGTTGGTAGATGTGTTGTTTCCATTTTCATCTGTTCAAAACAGTCATGAGGTGTATCTGGGTCGTAGTCATTCACTATGGTTAAATCTTGGAACTCATTCTCCAGGAAATGACGCGGCCATGCTTTTAGGTGGTCAGTTGTTGGATATTTGACAACACCATTTTCCTGTAGCTGTGATTCGTCCATAGTGGCCCATGCTTTTGCCATAGGCCCAAGATCATTCCATGATATTGTTTTCAACTTGGTCACAGGGACATGTGGAATGGCAGTGTCCCAATGACGGTACAAATGCTTGAGTTCCGGAGGTAGATGAATCAAGACCATACTGTTGCCTTCAGAATCACAGTAGAAGTCTTGTGCAGTGAGTTTTACTTCAACCAGCTTATAGAGTTCATCTTCATAGCAGGGTTCAGGAGTGATGTTTGGTTTGTACCACATGGTACAGAAGGCATGTCTTGCTCCGTCATGAAGGAGTGCTTGTCCATCATAAAAGGATAGGTTGGGATGCATTTCCTTCTTGATGGTGCCAGTGAGAAGAGAAACATAAATTTCGTCCATGATGAATCCGTAGTATACACCCCCCTCAGGGAGTGGCAGAAGAGTGGACGGATTGAGAACTTGACATCTTTGGAGGGTAATGTTGTCAGGCAACAAAAGATGACATTGAAGGCGAAGATGCCTGGCAGGAGTAACATGCTTAAGCTGGACCTGGTTGACTATGGCAGAAATGTCATGAGGGGCCAAGACAACCAGGGGGTGGCCAAGGACAAGATCTCCAGTTCTTTCAATGAGCTCTCTGGCAGCAAAGACGGCCCGAAGGCAAGAGGGACGTCCTCTGGCCACAATATCCAGTTGGCAGGAGAAAAATCCAATAGGCCTTTGGCGGCCTCCAGGACCATGGGCCTGAGTGAGCACTCCTGTTGCATGGCCTTGTCTTTCAGAAACAAACAGTTTGAAGGGTTTGGTATAGTCTGGTAGGCCAAGAGCAGGAGCAGAAGCAATAGCACTTTTGAGAGAACAGAAGTTGTCAAGGGCTTCTGTGGACAAGCAAAATGGGTCTGACTTGAGAGCATCATAAAGAGGTTGCATAAGGAGCGAGGCTTCTGGGATCCATGCTCGGCAATAGGAAATGAGGCCTAGGAAGGCGTGTAGTGACTTCGAGGTCCTTGGAGGTGGAATGTCCAGTACCGCTCTAACTCGGTCACGGGTAAGATGTCTGGTTCCCTGAGACAGACAATGGCCAAGGAAAATAACAGTAGGTTGGCAGAATTGCAGCTTGAGACGTGAAGCTTTACATCCTTGTTCTGCTAGGTAGCAAAGAAGATTAAGTGAGCATTGTTCTGTTGTGGGTATATCATCTCCACAAAGCAGCAAATCATCCACATATTGAAGCAGGACGACCTCAGGATGGTCAGATTGCCATGGATCAAGGATAGAGCACATGGCCTTCGCAAATTGACTTGGTGAATTTTGTGCCCCTTGGGGCATGACAGTCCATGTGTACTGTTGTTTGTCATGTGTGAAAGCAAACAGATATTGGCAAGTTGGATCCAGGGGAACACTGAAGAAGGCATTGGCTAGATCAATGACAGTGAAGTACTTGGCAGAGGGTGGAACGCCGGAAAGGAGAGTGTGTGGGTTGGGCACTATTGGAGTGTCCAAAACTGTGGCTTCATTTACCGCTCTGAGGTCTTGGACCAATCTGTACTTTTCTGGTTCGCCTTTTGGAGTCTTTTTCTTTACTGGAAATAATGGAGTATTGCATGGTGATTCACATTTGACAAGAGCACCCTTCTCCAGGAGTGCTTGAATTTGAATTGTAATGGCTGCAGCTTGAGCTGGTTTCAAAGGATACTGTGATTTTCGTGGCAATTTTACGCCTGGGATGAGCTTTACCACCACAGGCGGGACCTTTAGATGGCCTATGTCCTCTGGGCCTGTGGACCACAGCTTCTTGGGAACATCAGTCTTTAGTGAATCAGGGAAATTAGTCCTTAGGTCTTTTGCATCCCCATGAGGCTCTTCTAGATGTAGCATCAGGGGTAAGGAGCACAAAGCTGAGGTGTCTGAGACAGATAGAGGGGTGGATAGTTCCACTTGTCCATCTGGAGTAAAGGTGATGGATGCCTGCAGGCGTGGAAGAACATCAGCTCCTAACAGGTTAATGGGGCATGTGGAAGATACCACAAAGCGAGCAAGCAAGTTGTGGCAGTTACCAACCCGCAGTGGGGTGGACAGGGGACTTTGCCTTGGAAGGCCGTCCACCCCAACACAGGAGACATCAATATTGGAAAGAAATGAGGTATCGGGCAGGTCTTGTTCTCTCAGAACACTTCGGGCTGCACCTGTGTCAACTAGGAAAGTGGTGGGCTGGCCCTCAATGGGTAAAATTACAGTAGCTAGAGGCCCCCCCTGTTCCCCTGAAGACACTGCCATGGCAGGGGCATTAAGCATCAGCGGGTTTGCTCTCCTCAGTATGGGCTGTGTTACTGACTCAAACCCCTTTCTATGTCATTAGCCATAGCTTTTTTGCAGTCTGAACATGTCTATCATTATAAATAATGGTTAATAGTAAGTTAAGTAAAGTTCCTATATGTCTTTGGATAAAACATTAACTATTGCGGTACTATCATTTATATTAATTAGACTATAACAATTATACCACCCTGTAACTAAGTAAACAACCAGTAGTGGCTGGGTTAATAAAACATGCCACAAACCCTTCTAATGCTAAACCATCATTTAAAGTAAAGGATGTTACTGTAAACATACGATCTGTAACTAGCAAGATTCGATTAAGCAAAGATACAATGTTTAAAATAACTTGCATTATTTGGCTATTTCCCTTGTTGCAAGATTAATCTGGATAATCAGCTGTTATGTTCTTATATTCGTGTCCAACAGATTTCATATGTAGGTCACACCACATTTGCAAATTACATTTTAGCAACCTTCTTTTTTTTTTTTATATCACGGACAAATTGTTGATACAGGGAAACAAATGGCATGATTGTTTTAGTAATTATCTAAATGGGACGAGCATAATAGGGGTAGGCCTCATGATGGAGGCAGCCATGACAGGGGCGGGGAAGGAAATGACAGCAAGGGAGGAAGTGAGAGGGGTGACGTCCATGATATGTGTGGGAAAGGAAGACAGGAGGTGTGGGCATGGTAAGGGCGGAAGTGACGTTACTTTAGAAGCAACCGTGACTGTGGATAGGTCACGGGACTGGCAGGCGCCATCTTTAGGGTGGTGGTTGATGTACTTTCAACCATACACTATATTAAAACTATTAAAATAAGTCAGAGAAGCAACATTCTGTTCTGCAAAATGGAATACTAAACTATGAACAGACCTGGCAGGTTAAATAAGACAGTTGAGAACATTATGCATTTAACAGCCCATACAGCTGTTTCTAGAAACATGTACTTTAAAATAATGCAAGATAAACTCGCGGAATTCAACCTTATCTTCCTCAAACCATTAATCACTTTCCTCTTCACATACTAGCTTAACTCTGCATATTCCCTCTATCCACATTGCATAGTTTTGCAACAAATCACGCTTGCCTTTACACTTAACACGTCCAAATATTCCTCTATTCTTGTATCAGATTCACTTACCTCCGTAAATCAACACTGAGCTACATTCTTGTGTCTCCCCCACAATCCTCACTACCCTATCACAAAACACAATCCATATATACATATATATATATATGCATAAACGGCAAACGGCAACAATAATAATATTATTACACAATTATAACACCATATAACCTTTGAATTAGAATATTTTCCAGCAAAAATCCTGTTTCTAACTCTTATCAGTAGAAATGCAGGCAAGCGGGGAGGAAAGGGGGGGAGAAAGTTAGACAGTGCAAAAAAGGGAGAGACTGCAGGCATGAAGATTAACCATGTGAGTGCTGTAAAGTAACAAGACAGAAGGACAGAGACTTATACGTTTGGAAACCAGAAATCTTTGACGGGAGAAACGGACTGGAGGTGCAGGGAGCTGCAGAGAGAGGATGAGGGTGACGAGATCTGTAGGACTGATGGGGGGGGGGGGGGAATAGGGATCCATCAGCATCCAGTAACACAATTATTATAATACACAAACAATCTTAAACCTTTGTGATCAATTTCTTCCTCAACCTATCCCTTTTGCTGAATAGCTCTTGCTACTCGGTACCAGGCTTCTGCTGTACAAACCAAATCTTGGTCCGACAGCTTCCCTTTCTTCTGTCAGTAACTTACGCCAGCTCTCTGGCTACAATCTGCCGCACAGAGGTACGGTAATTCCACATACTTTAGCAATCTTACTCACTTTCTTAACCATCTCTTCTCCTTCTCTGTCTTCCACTAGATCACATGCTAACCAACCCTTACTGGGTTTATCTAACTTCTGTCCCATCCTCCCTATACAAGGCGTCCCAGATATAGAGAGAGAAAGGAACAGAACGTCTACCGTGCTCGACTGCTACTTTAAGAGCAAGCTCTTTAAGTACGTCTTCCCAAAACGTAGACTAGTCACTGATTCCGCCTACCCGTGGTAGCCGCGGATTGGAGCGTGGCGAGAAGTGTGTGACCAATCACTTCTCTCAACAGAGAAAGAGAACTAGGAGGGGAAAGTGTAAATAGTACAGTGAGTAAGATAAAAGTAAACACAGGAATCTGTGTGACAGACAATTAAGTCAATAACATTTCAGTGTAAATACAGTGCATGCATCACAGTTCAAATAAGTTCAACAGTGTTATCCCTTGCCTTTACTCGTGGCCAAAAGCCACCTCCCTCAACCTCGTAGTGTCCTGTTGCGGACCCACCCGCAAGTCTCACTACCAGCAGCCACAGGAAACAGCAACAGCTTCCAACCCGAATCCTGTATAGCCTAAAGAATTGGAATCTTACCTGCCTCAGCGCTCGAGGCTGGAATTTTACCAAGAAGAAGTGTCCGATGAGGCTAGCTAAGCGGTCAAAATGACACTCTGGGGAACCCCCAGGAAACAATGAGTCTACATCATCCTCCACAGATTCCCCCTACTCTTTTTCCTTACAGCCACAGCCACGTGGCTCCTAAAAGAGTTAAACAGGCAATAGAGGACCCCCAGGAAAACTTCCACAGGTCCACCCCCCTTTTTCCTTACTACCACAGGCATGTGGTACCTAAAAAGGGTTAAACAGGCACTTACACTCCCCGGGTACTAAGTTAAACACATACCAATACAAACACACCCAGGCAACAGATAGTCAACATGCAGGTAAACTAGGTATCATTAACAATACAAGGGGTCTGGGCAAGTTATTACCTGACTTTGATGTCCTCTCGGCAGCAGTCACAGACACTGGGACAGGTCAATCACAGGGGCAGGAACATACCGGCTAGGTGCTGCAGCAATCTCTACCGTGTATTCAGAGGTGATCAGGCTCTTTTCCTTCCCCCAGGATTCAGCCCCCCCAGCGTCTTCTTGGACAGCTGCCCAGACTGGACATAGCCCAGAGCCCCACGTTGGGCACCAATTGTTCTAGATAATTTACTGCAAACCAATTAGTTTGAATGACTATCTGTTCCTGTCCAAATTAAAGATAATAAAGTTGCGTGCACGCAGAAGTAAATTCACACTGAGACACAAGGTTCAGGGTAATGAAAGAACTTCAGAGAAGTTTAATGGCTTCTGACAGAAAATGGGTGCGCAGACCCTTATAAAGGTATTATTACATCATTGAAGAAAATCAAGATATAGACAAATAGACATTGTTAATTGGCTTAGGTGCTAAGATGTTAGTAAAATGCCCTCCCCATTCTTAGGTCACTATCTACGTAATTTCTTAACTCCTACAGGTTTTAGCGCCATTTTGTTAAAATGAGGAGCTCACTCGACGGGAGGGGCCTTTTGGCAGCTATCCATTTGGAGCGTAGCTGGCACTTGTTAGTTTCTCAAGGTTAAGTTTCAAGGATTTTAGTAAATACACATTTTATCAAAGCTATTTCTTGCTGACATGCAAATTCTATGTTCTATAGACAAAGCTTCCTTGTAAAACTATGGGGGCCTCTTAGAGGTATAGCAAGAGGATTTAAAGGGGCCTTACAAATTTATAGAGGCCTAATAATTCTACAACAATCTCACCCTGTCCCATGATTCAGGATATGTTAGGAGCAAATGTTTCTTCAAACCCACAGATGGGAATGGGTTTGTTCACCGTAAAAGTGGTCACCATCACCCCTGGCTTAAGGGACGGAACTGTTCAGATACACAGGACTTCTACTCCCAATCATCACATGTTAAAAATAAACTTGTAGATAGAGAATATAATAGTAAGGAGTTAGAGAGAGAAATCCAGAGAATTGGTGATATAGAAAGGAAAACTCTTTTGGAGAATAAACTATGCCTCCCAGACATTAGGAACAATTTTTGCTCAGCATTTATCACTCATTTCAATACCGATCATAATAGAATTAAGAGAAGTCTTCAAGGTTCTTGGCCTATTTTGTTACAAGATCCCATTTTGGGAGTACATCTACCAGACAATCCTACAGTTATTTATAAACAAAAATAAAAATTTCAAGAATATGTTGGCACCTAGTTATGCCATTAAATCACCATTAGTTCATACCTCCACCCGTTCAGGCTCATTTCGGGACTGTGGTTCCTGTAAAGCTTGTGCCACGGCATCTATTAAACATATACACTCCTTCTCTAGTTTTATCACGGGGGAGAAATTCCAACTTAAAGATGATATTAATTGCCACACAGACTTTGTGGTATATTTATTGCAGTGTCCGTGTGGCATGCAATATGTGGGACGGACCAAGAGGTTTTTGAAGGTTCGTTTGATAGAACACCTTAATAATATTAAAAAAGGATTATTGACACACTCAGTTCCGGCCCATTGTATACAATGCCCCTCCTTTTCATTTAGGGATTTTAGGTGCCTGGGAATCGAACGGATATCCCCCTTTTGGTGTGGGGGCGACAGTGTCCAGAGACTAGCCCAGAGGGAGACTTTCTGGATTCACAAATTGCAGACCTTCACGCCAAAGGGTTTAAATATTGATATTGATTTGATCTGTCTTCTGGACTAATATGATCCAAGCAAGACTTGGAATTGATACATATATTTTTGTTTAGATAATATTAGGTATGTGTGCTTGTCCCCATTAAGGTTTTTTTTCTACAGTTGAGGGCTAATCCCTATGGGGAAAGAGGTTTCATATATTTATATTGTAAAATAAGCAGTTATTTTCATTTTTGATATAGTTATAAGTTGCTCTAAGGGTTTATATGTGGTGTATAAATAGTTACAGATTTATTTAATAGTAATAATTTTTGGTCAAATATATTTTTTGGTTAAATATTTTTTTTAAGAGATATTTCTTTAAGAATAAGAGACCCTTTCACCTTTAAATGGTGAAATTTCTAAACTAAAGGTCTCTTTAGTTTGAAAACTAAAATTTTTTTGTGTATTTGTATAACATTATTCTACCTTATGTAGTTCCTCTGATTGATCGTTTTTTTGGTTAAACATTGATTTAATATATCTATAGATTTTAATGATAAATTCAGTGATTAATATAATTTGATTAAAGTGCTGTTAATATTCAGTGCATATAATAAATGAGAGTGTTTCAAATCATATATGACTAACACCGTTTTCTTTAGCAGAACTTTGGGGGCTGTAATTAGTTCTCTTTGTATTACATGAATTGTGGCCGAGACGATTACGTCCGGTTGCAATGGAGATAATACTGCTGGAACGCATATTGGAACGCGGATGTATCCGCGATGTTATTTCCGGTTTCGGCGATGAGGACGACTTCCGGTTCTTGCTGAAAAGGGCGCTAAATTCAAATTGGAAGAGTGAGAAACAGCTGCTGGAAGTGGTTTCCTCCTCCAATCGAAAAAAAAAAGGATCCACACACCCACTGAATCCACCAATGGACTTGAGGGACTAGCCCTATTTAAGGACACAGGGAGGGGGGTTATTTTAGGATATGTTTATTTTGTACTCTGTATTCATACATGGTAATTATTTTATTGCGGTCCCTGAGGAAGTTCATAACGAACAAAATGCGTAGGACTACTTTTCCTGCATTCATATCCTATGCTGAATTGGTGACAGCTTATATATATATATATATATATATATATATATATATATTTTTATTTTTTATTTTTTTTTATTGAATACATTTTCTTACATTTTAACCCTGACCTGTGGATGTCTCTTGGTGGAATAAGAATTCGGAGGTGAACATAAGGATCGTTTGGCCCCCCATTACATCAGAGGAGGCACCCTAAGAGTGCTTATACCTATCTGTATCTAGGGAGTGCAATAGATTGTTGCGCACAGAACACTGTATTTTGTAACAATATCACACTATGTTTTGTTTTATGTTTTCTCTGTAGATTCACACAGCCATATCCCGAATTGTTTTTGTTGTGGTTACTACTCTCATGTCTGTCTCTATCCAAGTCAACGGCGCCACCATCACCTCTACTTCACAGGCTCGCTGCCTGGGTGTTCTCTTTGACTCAAACCACTCCTTCACCCCTAATGTCCAGTCTATCGCCAAATCCTGCCGCTTCCATCTCAAAAATATAGCGCACATTCGCCTCTATTTAACGCCGGACACGTCTAAGGTGCTGGTCCATGCCGTTATTCGCTCTCGCCTTGACTACTGCAATTCCTTTCTCAGTGGTCTTACATTTTTCCAGCTTGCACCGCTACAATCTATAATGAATGTGGCGGTGAGGCTCATTTTCCTGTCCGCTCACACCTCCCCGCTCTGTCAGTCCCTGCATTGGCTTCTAGTTAGATATATGGCTCAATTTAAGATTCTGGTGCTTGCTTACAAGTCCTTACATAATGCTGCTCTAACCTACCTATCCTCCCTAATACACAAGTATGTCCCGTCCAGGCTCCTGTGCTCTGCCGAAGACCTACGTCTATACTCCAACCTCTGATTCTCACCTTCAAGACTTCTCCAGGACTGCACCTTTTCTGTGGAACTACCTTCCCTTCTCCGTTAGACTTTCACCCAGTTTCCGTTCCTTCAAAAAACAAAAACAAAAATCATTGAAAACACACTTCTTCAGGAAAGCATATCAATTAAACTGTTAGCAGGTTTTCATCCCCTGTCCCCAATGACTCCTCT